ACGGACTTTTTTATGTTGTCGAGCACTTCCATTTGCTTGTTAAAGGGTTATGGGGTGGTAATGGACATTTTGTGCAGTACACATTTATGCTGCGAGTGTATTTTCTTAGTTAAAATGCAGTAAACATTCAGATTGAGTCGACAGTTTTATACTTGCAACTTAAAAGTTGTAATTAGACCTAAAGGTCATCAAAAACTATTTGAAAACTTACCTTTAACCTTTGTTTCGTACTTTTAACTTATGTAATCCACATTCCACACTTTGGCCTTGTACACTGCCATCCACATGTAGGCAGTACATATTATATACATTGCGTTGGTTGTAGTTATGTTATGCAGGCAACGCCTGTAGATAGATTGCAATCGTCTACGTTTTATGGACCGCTTAAACGGGTCGGGATCGTAACCCTACATTGACAATGTTTAAGCTTTGTAAACTTGCTCGGGGTCAGATTGTTGCGTACTAACTTGTTTGAAAACATCGTCCATTGTGATGGTTTACTGGTTGGATAAAACCGTCGATTCTAATTAAGTTTTCTTTGTGGTTTCGTCTTGAAAGTATGTTATGTCAACCCATAATTAAATGCTCTGAAAACAATATTGAACATGTTCGAGTAATTTCCCTTTATTGAAGTTCATTTTTTGTGATAAGTTGATGTTATTTAGGTGATTATCATGGCCAGTATACACACGATAACTAAAAATGTTCACATTTAAAAGTCAGGAATAGAAGTCCTCTGTCCTTAGGAGAGAGTACCGAAAACATAACGAGATAAGTACAAACCCCCAACCAAAGCTGGAAAATAACTAAGGCAGATTGGCTGGATACGTTACCGATGCGTTATTTGGGACTGTTTACTGGAGTAAAATACACTGACGAATTATAAAATAATAAATAATGTACTTTCGATGACCTCGACTCTAGCTGATATACCTAGGAGTTGAGAAGACTACTCTACCCCATTACTAGCTTTCGCTGTAGTCCTTTGAACTTTTGTCTTTTGCTCCTAAACTTATTTTTTACAATTCAACCACTGAAAACGCCGAGGTCATAATGATGAAAGACAATCTTAAATTAGAGAACTTAGAAAGGTGCTAATGACGTCATTGTCACCCTTGTACGACCTTCGTCGCAACACCTCCATTCAAGGCGGCTGAGGCTGAACACACTTGGTGTCTGGTTACGTCGAAGGACGGACACGTGGATTAACAACTAGTGTATTTAATACATTGTATTTTGAAACTATATACTTTTAGTTCCTTAGTGATTATGGTGCTCACCTATGATCAGAAGTTGTCCTGAGATAACTCAGTTGCTTTATGGTTCGAATCTGGACCTAGTTGTCCTTGATTATTGGGCTTTTAATCAACTACTCTGGTTAAAAGGAGGATCTTAATTTAGTCAGTAACAAATCTACATAGACCATTTTTTGTATCCACCTTACACAAATCTTTAGTTTATTAACACTTCACCATGCATTTTAGTCTAAAATCCGTCATGGACTTCGTATATTTGCATGCAGAACGTATATTTGTTTCTATTATATTATCGCTTAGCAGAGGGAAAATTAAGGAATGGCGGGGAAGCAATGAAATGTTGAACATCCCTTTATCAGTAACAACTTCTAAAATGTTTGTACGCACAAATTAGCTAGTACTTGCTACATGTCAAATCTCTTCGCACGTGTTCTCAAGGTTGAAGAGATAGATTTGTTTGTGTGAATCATACTAGCCTCGATTAGACCAGAGTTGTGAATCATTGTAATAGTGAGTAATAATTGTCACTTCAAACAAGTATCTAGAGTGATTGATTCCAACTTATCGAACTTAATATTTCAAATGAATCTAGAGATTTGTTTTCGTTTGAAGCTTCATTTTAAGTTAAAAAATACGAACTACGAGATCGCCATATTAAAATGTGCAAGGTCTTACCAGCAGTCCATAGCTTTATAGGCTAGTTGAAAATCGTCCAAGCAAAAAAGAGAAATCTAAAAAGTTCGTATAACACGTTTGATTTTTTAGTCATTGATAATATTCAAACCATACTGAGATATTTAAATAAGGTTGTATAAATATTATTAACGTAGAAATATACTTACTATGGAAAATAATATGTTAAGGTTTTATATTATTTACTACGTTGGTTATGTGAAACTCATTCATAATTATACATCTACGAGATTTAGGAAATACACAAATTATGAATTGGTTACGTGAATCAATAAATATCTTTCAATCTCCGAAAATATAAATATCTATAAAAATGTCAATATATTTACGTAGTGAAATTAATCCCTAATATTTTTACAACGCTGTATAAAATTCTCAGTAATCTAAAACTTTAACAATCATGTCTCAAGCAAGAAGAAATAAATCCACTTCAGCCAGCATAAACAGTTAAGTTATTTAAAAAGACATTTAAAATTAAAACTAAGTAAGATTGATCTCACTTTGCCGTCACCTCTGAACTTTTCCCTCGGGAAAGTGAAGACATTTAGAAGGGGCTGAGGAAGTAAGCAAGGCTTTGCATTTAGATCTTTACTTTGGTGTCAAGTTAAAGAGACGCCATCTAGTCTTTTACGAGGATGGACTCGTATGGAAAAGGACATAAATGTCACAAATACTTGTTATCTTTGAAAATGTACAATAGCGATTTATATATCGAATTTACCAAAAATGTAACTTTTACTGATTATTATTAGACCTAAAATAACTGACAAACCCTTTTTGTATTTATAAAAACAGTTACTGTGGGATTTAGAAATCAACATTTAAAAAAAATTATTATTTGGTTTGGATTAAAAGATTGTGAACATTTTATAGGTCATGTTGAGGGGTTGATGTTGTTGACCTTAACTAGCGGTCAGTCACCCTCTCTCACGCAACCCTTGTACTCTACATCGATATTAGAATTACAAATACTGTACTGTACCATCTTATGAACCTTTTGGCCTACTTTTATTCTTTATTCGATGATATCCTTTATATTATACATGTCAAAGGTAATTCATTGCGTATAAGATTGTTATTCTCGAAGTAGCGAGTAAAATTAACATATTTATGTGAAATTGTTATAGGTCTAGACTTTATATTAGGTTTGTCAAAGAAAAATTCCTAAACTTATGTCTATTTGCCTCATTGGTTGGTTGGTTCCATCTGATAATTCTCTAGCAGAATATAATACTGTAAATGTAAATAAAGGAAATGTTATATTGTAACCTTCATATTGCATGGGTATGAATCAACGTTTGCCTCCAAAATCTCCACCCCGAAACATACAGAAACGGGGATTTCAAGATCATTTTGGTCGAATTCGTGATCTAACTTAATGAAACATCTCCAATTATTCGGTTTATTAGTGTTTGCGTTCACATGAAATAAACACACAGACAGACACACAGAAACTACTTCTTATATAAAATACACTATACTAGATAACAATAGATAAAATTTAACAAATAACCTCAAGAGAATGATTCACAAAATCAAACCTATATAGTAAATTCTTCGCACAAAACTCAAGTTAAGCAAATCAGCGTGACCTACGATTTAACCTTCAAATAAAGACTTGTCAGGTGAAGTCATTTTTAAGGATTCAATGACTTGAAACCCACGTCTCCTAAACAAGGGTTTATCTTTATAGCCGATGTTCACATTTACAATTCTTTCAACGTTTAACCATCCGTGTTAAAAGCCTCTGAAAGATTGTCCTGGAAGTCACGATGAAGTTTTACAACCTCCTGGCGCCTCCGATCTTTGGACTGAATTCCAAGATAGGGAGTTGATGGTTGTTTCTGTATATGCTGAAGGCCCAATTCTGTCACTGATACGGACGAAAAGGTTCCTTTCGCGAAGCTGTTACAGTCACGATGTCCCCGATAAGAGAAACATCTCCATTTGTGGATAGAATGTATTGTTGAGAGCTTTTAAGCGCAGCCATAAGTTGTAGCATGCTAATGTGTGGACGTGACATCTTAAGAATTCTTTGAATATTTTGCTCTTCTTCCCAGGAAAATGTGATAACTGGAGGATAGAGAAAGGTTTCTGATGCTATGACATCAATGCCTCAAAAAGGGCCGTGGATGAATCTTCCCCTGCTTTTTGGCAAGTAAAACGTGCAAGTGAGCGTTAATTTTATTTTATTTTTATTTTATTTTATTTTCATGCTCCAATACAGTATACACCATTTACATTGAAGCAGTTCATGCACTTATAATAATTTCTTCAGTGGGTTTCTTCTTGTCCATTCACTTCAATCTAACTTACACTTTCATACCATGCAATAACAACATAAAAAATAAAATTTTCAATAACTATAACAACAATATATAAATATTTAAAAAAGACTAACAATGATAAATTATATAAATACATAAATACTGAATAGTAAAATAAATACAACAGTGAATATAAATATATTATTGATTGGTGAATAATACTGTTTTTAATTTTAATTTGAAATTTTGCAAGTTGTCAGAGAAAATGTCAATGTTATTGCATTTTTCTATTGCCAAATTATAGTCTTTCATTATTCGATAGAGGGGGGAGGAGGCATGGGCAGTGGTGCGGCTGTAGGGCAACGAGAAGAGATGTTTATTTCTACTATTGAAACAGGGTACGCGATAAGACAGGCCGGCCAGGCAAGCAGCGTCGTCAACCTCTCCACGCGCCAGTTTGTACAGGAACACCTGACCTATGATCTTTCTCCTCAGGTCTAGACTCTGCAGCCCAAACAGTTGTAACAAATCATAATATCAACTCATAATTATCATAATAATTATAATTAACATAATAATTATCACTATATAATTGAACTTGCTATGTACATTTGGCAACTAATTAAGCTTCAACCATATTAAACGTATGTGTAATTGGTTATGTTACGTCATGTATTTAGTGACATCTGCTATAGTATTCAAACAGTCCAACGTCTACGTCTATTGATCCATTGATCTATTGATTCCTCTGATGGTTTATCTAATGATTGCCTATGTGTTTCAGAGTCCTGGCTCGCTTCACCTCAGCAAGGACGTTTTGGCTAAGTTCAACGGCGTCAAAGCTCCTCAGCAAACTCACAAGCTGAGGCATGGGATGCCAGCCAAAAATGGAGCTGAGGTCAGTACAGCAGTTAGTCCTCACATTTCACTCAGTATTTAGATGCCTCACCAGTCACTACTTGTAGCTAAACATAGCCTTGAATGTTAGAGCCGGAGTAGAAACGTTCATGGGAAAATATAGAACCCCAAAAATATCTCTGCTGAACATTTCGAAACCTAAAGAACATGAATAGTGATTTCCCCTGGTCAAGTAACCATTTGACTTATATTACTTATTATCAATCTCGATAGTTCCAGATCGGTGGAAATACTAACAACAGTGTTTCACGTTAGAACGTTATTTTCCACTGTCGCAAACACTGGGTATTCTTAAAACCTTACCTGAGACCATTAGTTCAGCGGCCGCAGGGTTGTCGCCAGCGGCATCGATACCTTTCATTTCCCCGCTTTCTCCCGCCATTTCCCCGTCGATAGCGACGATATACTAAACACTAATCACTGCGTAATTGCTCGCTGAACAACCACTGAATGACCCTGTCTGCAATTTCTCTTCCTCCTGGTACACATGTGGCAAAGTTTTGGATAATCTTTCGGGTTCAGTCAAGGTTGAGTCAAAGTAAAGCAACTTGGTAATTTCGCACAAATAAGGTGGTTCAATAGCAAAACTATTCTTATACATTATCTTATTTCATACACTCGTGGTCTTCGTCCGAGCAGAATGATGGCCATCCGACGAATCTCTCTCTCGAGCAGAGTGTGATTTGTTTCAGGTAAGCTTGACTGTCCCACAGTAAAAACTTCTTTGGTAGTGCCGAATTCCACGACTCTACAATGCGTGGTCGTGGAAGTTTTTCCATGAAGATTATTTATTATGTATCTTAAAAGCTCGTGTCAGGAGGAATGTTACAAAAAAACTCCATTTTCAACATCACAAATAAAGTGTGAATAATTATTTGGAAACATGACGTTTACATTATTTCCATTGTTTATCCGTTTTGTTTAAAAGATTACAGTATATTTAAAAGTAATATTTTCATGTAACATTTTTGTCACTTTTATTAGGTAACTAGGGCAGTAGGGGGCTCAATAATTAAATTCTTTGACTCCAAGTCGCATAGCTCCACGAGCCTCATGTTCCACGTGACAGGATGTAGAGAGACTCTTTAACATTCACCTTCCGAAGAGTGATCCCTGTAAGGCCGACTTATGTAGCCCCGTCATAATTATATGCTTGTATTTTAAATAACGTTGTTTGAATGGCCCTGGTGCGGATAACTGGAATTGCTAAATGTTTCGGTAGATGACCCAGACAGACAGATTTACAGCACATTGTGTGTCCTTGGAGTTTAATTAGGTACTAATATTGTATATTGGGAAATTAATTAGAATCGAGGAGGTAAATATTGTTATTTGCTTATTTAAATGTTTTGGCCGTGACCAGTTTCTTTCATTTCCTACTACGAGTTATTGATCAATACCATCATGTTTCTCTTACACCATGATTTTTTCTTACCTTGTTTATTTCTGGTGTCCAAAGCATGAACACTCGTCTTTCTCTTGCATATGTAACCAACTGACAAAGTCAACATGTGTTAACCAGTGGACCAACATGCCACACCATTATCCGATTTTTTTACATTGTCGATTTCTGGTGTTCAAAGCATGAACACTCGTCTTTCTCTTGCATATGTAACTGACAATGTCAACATGTGTTATCCAGTGGCAACATATGCCAACATGCCACACCATTGTTTGTATCCATGCATCACTTATTGAGGAAGCCAACACGAGCCAATGGATTGTCTATTGTCTCAGCTGTCAAGGTCTTGTGACGAAATGCTCGCTTGCAAATTGTTATGGATCTTAAATGACCAACTGAATCATTCATCTTTCAGCTGACTAAGGTCAATATTTAGTATTCGCGTGTCATTGCACTTCCGTCTTTCTTTAGATCCATCGTAACTCTTGATGAGTTAAAGACGATGTATTGGTGTATGTAGATGTAGGCAGTTTTGTTGTTCTTCAGTTTCTTATATTTTTTATGATCAACTTAAGTATTTGTCCACTGATTTAAGGCACAAACCTTATAATACCATAGAGTATGATAGGAAGCATAAATTCAAATCACGAAAGCCTTTAGATCGTTGTTTTGCCTCTTCAATGACGCGGTTATCTCCCAAAGACCGAGAACCTACTGTTTGTTTGGTTTTGAACCATCTTTACTCTCATTTGACACAAAACACATGTTGTCATTGAGCTGTTGCTATCACTCTCTTGTCGGCTGAGTGTTGATAACAGATAACAGACTGACAAGGATGCACGCCTTTCCGGAGTAAAGTGAGTCATTGGATTAAAAACCTACTGCACTTCTGTACTTGACTATGTATCTAATACAGAACACTAGTGTTTCTGTAACTTTCCGACTAATTTTCTTTTAACTAATTATATTTCAAACTGTTGCGATTTATCACAAAAAGACGTTTGCATCAGACAAAAATCAAGTGATCCATGTAAATGACCGTTGTTTGTCAAACCTAGTTAGGTCATGTCAGTGTTAAGAATTTGATCATGAAACTAAAGATTCTCAGCCGAGCTGAAGCAGACCAAACACGACACAACAATCGCATGTTTCCCAGCTGTATTTTCACCAGTTCCGATTGGCGTGGGAAACCCCAGGTTTATGACATTTGTGGGACTCCTAGTGCAAAAACACACCCTCGTGAATTACATTTTGCTTGGACTTCGCACATATCAAGACTTTTATTTTTTACATTCCATTAAATATTTTCTAAGATTTGAATCATTCCCTTTTCTTAGATAAACGGTGTTTACTGAAGATTCGAGGATTAGTAAGCAAGAATCTGCTACTTGCAATTGCAAATCTACGACACGCATTTCTTATTTTCAATAATTAGTTATTTACGTACTTCAACGTCAACGGTTCCTGGTAATTTACCGGTATCGGTTACCATTGTTTCAACACATTTTTCTCATAGCTACACCATTGTAGCTCAACGTAGTAAAGTCGGAACCAAACATACTGAAACACATCTTATAACATTTCTTTGAAACGGTTAATTTCCAATAGCAATACGAGTATTATACGACAAGTATTAGATTTTAACGCTTGTCACTAAATTCTTCAATAGTCGACGCAGCAAATAGCGTTACAGTATTGCTACTGCCAATTACATAACGCCGTTGTCGTACCCCAACTCTGATGTGACGCTGTGACGTCATTTACCCCATGACTCGGTTCCCGGTTCCCGGTACCGGTACCTATTGCCAGTAGTCTTGCACAACTCATCTATTCAGTCAGGTTTGTCACGGGGTTGACGGTTTCTTTGTGGAACGTGACATTTCGACATCTAGTTTCGATTTCATGGTTTTCCTCTATTTCCTTTCGAATGATTATCCTGTAGTTTTGGTTGTTTTACGAGATTAGGACATCGTCAAATCGGCATGGTTAAGTTTTTTTTTCGTTTTTAGTTTCAATAGATGATTTGAATGTCTTTAAAAATATGTGGGTTTCCTTGATTTGTATTTTATTTAGTCGTGATTTTGTGGTTTGGATAGTCTTTCGTCGTCTTGTTTATGAGGTTCTCCAAAGTGTGAAGATTCTTTTTCCGAGTTACCTTGATCTAGCTACAAATACAAGTGTTTATATTAGTCGTGAAAGTACTGACGATACGATAAATAATAAGGCTGGATTTTAACCTTCGCACGTAGAAATTACTACTATGGTACTAAAACCCATTAACGTTAGCAATGTTAGACACATTGAAGTTTAATACTGTACCGATTCTTAATACACTTTCCATTATTGGAAAGAAATTGAGTGCTGTCCCAACTCAAAGTATTAATTTTCTAAACGCTCCTAAACTTAAAATATGAATTTATTAATATTCCAAGAAATTACCTCTTCAGAAAATTTTGCTTTTATGAACCAGTTTTCTCTTCCAAGAAAAGCAATTAAAACTTTGAAGCTATCGCGTTTCAAGAAGGTTAGCAATAATGGAGTTTGGTCCAGCGCAACTTGATCCTGAGAGTTTGTCCCCTTGATGGAGTTGTGAGGGGAGGGGGTGGAAATAGGTCACTGTGTCCCTGAAGCTGAAAACTGGGACAGCCGCATCCCCCAGAGCTCTGGGTGTCAAATACTACAGATACACCCGAGCTGTGTTGAACGCTGAGGTAGGGATTTCCTCGTTGAAAAGATCATACTGTACTTTCCTGTTGTTAATGTTCTGAGGATAACTGTTTGCTAACATAATTAATTGTAAGATTATTATATTACGTTCAACAACCAATGTGTGTGAGGAAAGGTGTACTGTATTGAATTGATGGAATTTAAGCTGATTAAATAGTTAACTATGGCTGAATGAAGATGTAATCAATATTAAAATATCAAATGTTTAAGGGTGCAAACTTCATTTTCAAAATCCCCATGGTCGGTGGCAGCTGATTGGTTACCTACTCTTTTGATAAAGGCCGGGTTTAAATTTTGTAATGTACCTAAAAATTAAACCTGCAAAGCTTATTTTTTAGTTAAATGGCACGATTGATTGCATCCAACGTCAGTTAACTATAGCGGCGTCAGATAAATTACAAGTTAACAGGTGTGTGGCAGAAACAAAAGCTATTACCACGTGTGTTGTTCTGTTAATGATGTACGGTTTTGCTTCTTTAACAATATACATAATAGTAAAATATTCCATACATACTGAAGTAAAGCTTTTACAACACCGCATACAAGTCAAAGGTGGATTTACTCGTTAAAAACACATCACAATATATTTATGTGAAAGTCCACCCTAACCTTCTCGCTTCACTTTATATTTCCCATATTTTGAGAGCAAAGGGAATAAGGGTGCATGAAGCGTACATTGGTGCATTCTATCATCCCCCAGCCACTCCGACCTACCCTTCGGCTAGCTCGTTATACCAAAAGCTTTGCCGGTTTCGAGATGTCTTTTATAACCGCTGAACTTTGTAAATCTCCGTGTTCATCTAAAGTTTTCTTTTTTACAAAACTCGCCTACTTTTTATATTTGCGTACTT